GACCAAACCGTTTGAACTTAGACTAAAGTGAACTATCTAAACCAGGGGTCACCAACCTTTTTAGGATGAGGGCTACTTTCAAAAAATAAAACAAGTCGGGGGCTACTTTTACTCCTCTTTATTTTGTTTTTGCAGTGTATATATTTAGCACATTTTAACATTATTATATGCTACCTTTAACCTTTGTGTGCTGTTTGGGTCTGTGGGACCTGTTTGCAGTGTTTACTAAAAGAAAATGTATGCAATTTAATTATTTTAACCTGCTTTATTTGGGGGTGGGCCTCACATCCTCCAGGGGGGTCCTTACCTCCTCTAGGGGGGTCCGGGGGCATGCACCCCCGGGAAGATGTTTTTTAAAATGTTGAAGTGAAATGCATCAATTTGGTGCACTTTGAGCACAAAATGAATTTATGGATACAGCTCTCAACACTCATGAAAGGGAGCTGTATACTTTTCAATAATCCAAACATCTTTAGAATATGATCACAACCAATAACAAATCATTTAAACTTGTTTATTCTTATCTTATGTTACCTAGCATTCTTTCTTTTTATTTATGCATATTTTACTAATCACTCCCCTTTTAAACTTTTTTTTGTACTGTCCTATAGTACACATTGGAATGATTTCTTACTTCATCTATATTAAATAGATACAAGTGGACACAAACCGGAGTGGACACAAACGGGATTTCGAAAAGTGCGGGGAACATGTCCCCCCCCCTGTCCCCAGTGGAGATTACGCCATGCGTGTGTGTGCGTCAAGTGCAATAAATATATATGCAAGTTACAACACACAGAGTAAAGCTCTGCCCCTCATGTGCTGTATAGGCTGGCACGATAGGCTGTTCAATGGGGCTGATGTGTTGTGTAGATTCTGCCAGAAGGAAAATCAGCGGGGAGGTGCCACATTGCTTTTCTTCCCGACTGCAACACTGGTCCCGCAAATAAAGCAAGAACGTGATTGGTCGATATTCATTGTGGGGGTGGGTGAGGAGGGGGTGTTAGATAGATATAGAGTTGTAGTAAGTAGATAGAGTTCGCTATGATTTAGGTTTCGTTTATGCATAGGGTAGATTCTTTTAATTACATTTCCTTTTTTGTTTTGTGTATTTTATACATTTTGGATTTGCTTGGCGTGCTATTTTTAGAACATGCCCTGCGGGCGACTCACGTTGCCCCTGCGGGCGACTGGGTGCCCGCGGGCACCGTATTGGCTACCCCTGATCTAAACACTCAGAGTCCTTTACCTCACTGAGCTGTAGTTATCAGTCTCTCGGTCTGACTGGAGAGGACTCTCCCTCCACATTATTGTAGAAACATCTTCTTCTTATATCCGCAGCTAGCACCTTGGCTGTGAGCTGCGGGCGCCAGATAAGCCAGCATCCCCCATTTTCATCACTTACAGCGCCCATCGTACAGGGCAAATGAAACGTGTAACCGGGGTGAAAAGGGTGTTACATTTACTTAATTATGAATGTTGTTACATCAAGGCCGAAAATTAGGATGAGTTAAAATGTTTTTTTCCCTCCCAGAGCTGCCAGTGCAGCGCCTCCCCAGATCTGGCGCCCTAGGCGAAAATCAAAGCCAGTGGGACGGGCCGGCCCTGAGTTCATATGCAACTCGCAAATATCTTTCTCTTTCTCTCTCTCTCTCTCTCTCTCTTCTCTCTCTCTCTTCTCTCTTCTCTCTTCTCCCTTCTCTCTTCTCCCTTCTCTCTCCCTCTCTTCTCTCTCCCTCTCTCAATGTTGGTACGCAAATGCGCCTTTTTTCAAATGACCCGGTGCTCTTTTTTTGGCCGAGGTGCGCGTGCGCACCTGCGCACCAGTTATGTGCAGCCCTGGTTATAGCGCTAATGTTAGAAATGCTAACTCATTTAGCTTGCACATGTTTCTGGAAAACACGAATTGGAAACATATTAAAAACTGTCCATAACTATTAGATAGCTATGTTATTATTTTGCTGCTGATTTAATGCTATTCCATTCAAATACAGTTGGTGGTTGTAACGCGCAAATAAGCTATCAATGTAGCAAAGTGTGTTCTTCACACTACAGTTAAAGGGATCGCAAATCATACAAATATATGAACAAAGTCGAACCGGTAGGGAGGCATCTGAGTTGAAAATGTTTACATTTCAGCTAAAATGTTCAGCTCCATCACCTGTGTCGCTTCTACCTGCCTGGTCCATCTTCCCTTCATTGTATTCAATTCAAACATGATTTTACCCTGTAATAACAAATTATGGAATAAAATGCATACCTCCCTGTGTGGCAGGAGATTGTTTCACGCGAAAGATGTATGAGACAGAAATATAAAAGCTACAACAACAGACAGAATATATTGATTCACTACTGCACTATAAATAATGAGGCATACCTTTTTAACAGAAACAAACTTTGTGCTGCATGCAAGCAACGATTTTACAAGTTGAGCGAATAGACTGTGACAGACTTATTGAAAGATAAATTGGGTATGAGCAACAATATGATCAAGAGAACCAGGCACAGATATGGAATAAGGAAAGTGCGAGACATGGTATTAAGGACAAAAATAAGTGTGAGAATAAGTTTGAAAGATTGAAAAGCAATAAGGAGACTTGCCGAGTAAAGGGAAAAGGGTATAGAGGGAGCTGAATAGAAGTTATAGAAGTAGAAAATGCAAACGGACAGGAAAGAGGGGGTGGGGGGAGAGAAGGAAGGGCAGTTGATTAATGCCAGCAGCTTCAATAATGCAAATGTAATTACTTCTACTGGCCCTCACACTTGCTTAGCACTAACCACATTAACACCGGGGTTGTGGAAATGGAGACAGAAAGAATGAGAGCCAGAGAGCTAAACAGATAGCAACAACAAGAAGGATTGTGGAGGAGGAATGTGAAAAACAGAGTGATGGAGACGAGATGGGTGACATGGGGCCAATAGAGAAGAAGTCCATCGAGTATACTTTCCCATATTAGCCCTTGTTTAAGTCGCTTTGATATTATTGCCCAAATTATAATGGATATTTGTGGCCAATATTGGTATTTGGTAATCAATACAAATCGAGAAAAAACATCTTAAAATGCATCTCATGGAATTGTATTTATTTATTTTGACTGTGACCAAGATATGTAACATTTTACAGCTGAACTAGACACAGTGCATCTAAATAACCTACAATCTAGTGTTGATTGTATATGCGCCGCTATCTTTAAATATACACTTGTGTAAATATAATAATACGAGGTAATACGAGAAGAAGTAGAAAGAAGAACTATTGAATCATTTAGCGGCTATGGAGGGATGGAAAAAGTGTGAGGTGCTATAGATGGAGGATTGAAAATAAAATGCAGCAGAGAATGCGGTTTCTAGCCTGCCAGCCAGTGATGGACTCAGGAGGACACACGCCTTGGTTCTGCTGAGCCTGAAGGACAACTGGAGCTGTTTATTGCTAAATGACTTCTCCCCCCCTCTCTTTCTCATTCTCCCCCTCCATCTCTCTCCCTCTCTCCATCTGTTGGATAGTTTGCCACATCAGCTGTTCTCCAGCCACACTGCAATGACCCCTCAAGGAAACGTAATCCTTGTTGTGTGTGTGTTTAAGTGTCGGGCGTACACACAAAATGCTTATCTCATATGTATTGTATTCTGCAAGTTCAACTGTCCGACAATGCTCACTCTTGGGATCATATTCAGGATTGGTCATGGTTTTCATATCCCAAAATAATCCCCATCAGGTTGACCACAAGTCGTTTTTAGCCAGCCTCAAAACAGCAGAATCTACAGCCTAGCACTGGTTAAATTACACCTAGCTTAGCATGCTAATGGCGCCAACAGTCACCTCAGAATCCTCTTTGGTATATGTGGTGCATACAAAGACACAGAGCAGATTGAACATAAGGAAGAAGATGGCAATTCACATTAACAAAACATATACAAAAGCAATTTTGCATAACAACGTAACAGCCAGGAATGCATTGAAATAAATGTTCGAATAGAAACCAGAGACATAACGTCTTTGGAATGTAGCAATGCTTTTATTGCACACAATGTAGCTGGTTAAAGAAATGATTCATGACTCACATCTATTACCTTGAACTCTTGAAGAAATCTTTTCTCACATACCTACATGGTGTACAATCTAAAAACAGTGTTGAAGAATTTCATTACATTGCGGCCGTGTTTAGCATTCAAACTCTCAAACAGGTAAAGTAAAATCCGAGTCTCATTTATCAGGTTGTATACTCTTTACTTTCCATATGTATTTTCTTTAAAACCTTACTATTTAAACCATTTCTGCTTAAACAAAAAAACGGGACAATGTTAACATGAAGGCCTCTAGATCTGTGGGATATTTCACAAATTCACGCTGATTTGTAGGCCTTGGCCAAATCACGGCTCACTTGTTATGTTCTTTCAGCCACATTCACAGCGAGCCCTCTACTTTGTCTTCAAGGCCACAGCCACTCTCGTTATGTCACGCCAGTGTTGTCTGTTGTTAAAGAAAGGCTTTGTGTGAGGTGTGAACACAGAGAGCCTTGGCACACACTTCAAATCTTGAATGGCCATTGCATTTTTCTGAAAATGAATCCCCGAAGTGAAAAACTGAAATGTCCCACTCTCTGGCCAAACGGCTCCGAAACGTCAATAAGAAACTAATCACGTTAGCTTAGTCAACAAGGGCTCAATTTCACAGCACGTCTGAGAAATTACAGAGAAGTGTGACAAATATTCATGTTTGACAAAGATCTGCTTGATCTCCTAAGCTCTTGATTTTATTGCTTTTCCTTGCACTTTTCGCTATGTGGCCATTGAAGTATTATCCACTTACTGATTTGCTCCTTGTGGTTGCTTATAATGATGTATGCAAGCAAAAGCACTTTCATGCCAGCGACTATTCACTTTTGGAATGCATTAATTCGAAAAAAGACAGATTACAGATTGAACATTTTATGTTTTTCCGCCCTTAATGATGGAGCCTTGGCCCATATTGACTTCTAACTGATTTTTCTCCTCCTCAGGACAACTATACATTTGCCCAGCCAGGCATCCAGAGGAAAGTCAAGGCCTTGGAGGAACTGGTCAGCAGGATTGATGGTAAGTCATCCAACCATCCATAAAGCACTTTCTGCTCACAGCTCTGCCTTTTTCGACTTGATTTCCATTTACTTCTTTGTCTTTCCAGTTGATTCATTACTCTGTATATCCACAATTATTTTCTATGTCATGTCTTGTCCTTAAAACAGCAACTATTATGCAAAATACCCCCTGAATCACTTTTTCTGCTTCACATCGAACATGCAAGACAATGAGCTTCCTTCAGGAACGTTTCTCATTTTTCTTTCTTGAATTATTTTTTATATCTGTTATTTTCGCCCCTTTGATACAAATTAATAAAATCACATGTTGCCTAAAAATGATCTAAATATGAAAAAGTCCAACATGTATTCACACAGATGTAAACATGCAGAACGGGAATGTGTTATAAGGTTTTTAGGAGATCTTTCTTCTGCCTCTTTTTACTTCAAATAGTGCCTTAATGAGGATAATTGTTTCCCCCTTACAGTTTTCTTAACACTTTAGCTTTCTTTGATAGTTTGAATTCATGTGTTAGAACTAGATAAACACCAGGAAGTTATATTTGTTTTCACGCCTTGTTTATTCCGCGCTATGTAGTTACACAACACCGCGATGGCTGATTGTCATTACACCGGGCTGTCGGGGGAAATGTGAACGTGTTGGTGATTATTAACGCAAAACAATGACTTGCCGAGGGATGGAAGTTAATGTATGCACACTGAGTGTACTCATACAGAGCTCCTTAGTGTTAATTAGCAACGCTGCTTCTTCTTCTGTTTCCTCCTTCTCTTTTACACGTTGTCAAAACAATAACCGTGAATATGTTTTCTGATCGCTTTCTATCCAAAATAAACTGGCATTGGTAGCAGTGTGCAGAACAAGGTCTAACACAGCAAGCCTTTTGTACAATGGTCATGTTCTTGGCTAACCTTGGAGCCGTCCAACCATCCTGTCACCCGCTCTGTCGGCCAGAGGGAGGGAGGACTCACCCGCTGCATTCAAATAGATAGACGTGTGTGTGTGGGGGGGGGAAGTGAATGTCAGAGAAAGTTAGTGTGCATATGCAGGCCTGTCTGTTTACATGTGTGACCGTGACAGCAAATAACTTGCCGGTAGAAAGGGCAATGTGCGAGATTGTTGTTCCAAGTGGCTAGGGTTAGGGTTGGTGTGTATTTTCAACAAAAGTTAAGGGAACAAAATAAAGAAGCTAAGTCCTCCCAAGCACCGCCACAGCACAGCAAAGACATAAAAAATGACCTGACATTTTTACTGTATCTTATTCCATAAGTGCCCTGTCATCATAGTTGGGGCAGAGCCATTTTATACCTCGCTAGCTTGACATTACCACCCCTAATGAGATCACAGATAGCTTTTATCTCGTGTTACAGGATTGTTTTTCGCCCCGCTGTCGACATAGCATCTGTTTTGGGAACAATGGCCTCTCATCTTTTTCAAAATTACCCATCAGCGCTTATCAGATGCTGGGTTATCCACACATGAGTTGGATAAAGGGTGAGGTCCTGTCTTCTTCACAACAGGAAGGTGTTTTAGCTACCGCTTCGAATATACCATCCATCCTGATGGAATTTCTGCGTTGTATGATCCAAATTTATGATATCTTTTATTGTGTTCCTCTGTGTTAATGTGTTGTGTATGTTTCTATTCAGATTCCCAATTCATTACATTATCAGAGCTAATGGTACTTAATCTTGCAGCTCATTCATTTTAGATTTGTTGGGAAATAATTAGTGCAAAATTAATGTATTATCATCCATTAGAGCGAGTTGGTAACCTTCCCCATAAGGCAAGGAAAACGCTGTTGCTATGGGTGTCATGTTTCAGCCTCTTAGCAGTTGGGTATCCGATACAGGGACATTAGTAGTTGATGGGGTATTTATTAAGCCAATGGGAGGAGAGGCAAGGATCTATAGAGGAGGAAGGAGGGATGTTTTTTGACCTCCGCTCAGTGTTTATAATTTCATTATTGTTTGCTGTAGGGTCAGTCAGGAGAGGACATTGCTGATCTGTCAGTCTTTCACCACTTTGTCTGATTCAGGGAAAACATACATATACTGCACCATACATATACTGCACATTCACAGGGAGATAATGGGCAGTTTTAATGACAATATCATATTTGTACACACTTTTACTCCTCCTGCTTCTCCTCCCCATTTACCCTCCCTCTAACTTTTAAATATGTATTGGCAGGAATACGTGATAAACCCAGGAAACATAAAATGATGAATAGATATCGAGAGTCTAAAGACACAAACAATTTAGGAGGTTTGATATCGAATTAAGACGTGGACTTGAAATTGAAATCCCAGAATGACAAATCAACAGGATTGTTTTATTCATATTTTCTCTGGATATTCCATTTTTATTAGTTGTTTTTTTCAGTCCCAACGGCTAACCACTGATTGATCTAGGTGTCATTAGAAGTAAGGAAACCAAAAAAGATACAGGATTTATTAAAAACAACAAAAAGCAAACCCATTCATTCCTTTACTTTGATTCTTGCAACAGTGAAGTTGTTATAAGGCTTTTACTTAGTAATGTCTTTGTCTCTGCTTGTTCCCCACTGTAATTATCCCACTTGTAATAAGTGAAGAGATAACTGCCATTAGCATTGTTCGATGTTAGCACGTGTACCTCCTCAGAAGACAAGTTGTTTAGTCAACGTGCCGTGAATGTTCCTCTGATCTCTTTATCTCTCCTTTATATCTAACCATGCAATAGAACAAGTTCATCAACATGCAAATTGCCCAACAGTGAATGTGTTTATGCAAATGAGAGGACGCCCCATTGCAGCGTGCACTAAAACGAACAAAAAGAAGACTGATAGCTGGATTTCAAGACTATTGCATAATGAAAGGCTGAAAAAAGCTGTTTTTATTTGTTAGGTTTGAAAAAGCTAGGATAATTTTCCTTTTTGTAGCAGCAGTTGCTACCATGGCTTGCCTCTGTCCGACTTAGTGTGTAATGTGTTACAGAAAGGAAGCACTAGTAAAAAGCAGGATCCTGTTGATTGATTTCTTACTACAGCAGTGTTTGTTTCAAGCTCTACTCAAGAGAAGAAATAAATGAGATGAGTACATTCTCTTTTTATACATATAAACACTATACTTAGAGACATGAAGCGATAAGAATAATCCACAGTGAATAAATAAGGAAATGACAACGAACAGATTGAAAATAAAGCAGCTCCGTTAGCAGAACAGGAAGTGTAACTGTAATTACGTTTGTAGAAAGGAAAAAGAAGTCAGGCAGAATTGGCCTCGTCAGCAGAATCCTGAGAGGCACTCACTAGTCACTGTACGACCTTTGACCTCCTGCTGTCCACCCACACTGCACCGCTGCAGTCCTCTGTGGGGAGCGGGCTTCGCCGGCACTGTGGCCTCGGTCCTCAACTTTAACCAGCAGTGGGAGGCAAGACGAGACTCATCAGTCAATCATTGTCTATGAGATATGTCATCCTCGACCTCCCTCAGCCCTCATAACTACCCACCATGCCGAGCTCGGCTCCAGCTGGACGCCATCCAACAGTTAAAAAGTCCAAAGTTTTAACGCTTCATTCCATCTCTTTCTTTTTTCCGTTTTATGATTCCTCTCCTGCCGAGATAACTCCTCGTAACAAACGATTCCCTCCCCCGCCGCGCACCTCTCCCTCCATGTGTTTGGCGAAGTCGCTAATATTAGCTCGAGCAAGTTCATTAGCGTAATTTAACATTGTCTAAAGTTGTTCCACTCTCTCCCTCTCTGTTTGGCAGCAGGCTACGATCTGTCACTGTGATGCATTCGCTGTTAATGAGCTCGCCTTGTTTATGCTTTACGCTTTACAGCAGCATGTGATAATTAAACTGCGGAGAAGAATGTAAAACAAAAGCTTTGTTTACTTAACGCCTCGCTCGTTATGGTAGGAGTGCGTGTGCATAAATGCCAAACATGGAAGGCAGGTGTCATTCAAGTGTTTGAGAGCATTAGAGTATGTGTACTTGCCCTCGAAATATCTTATATAAAACCTCAGTAATTAAAGCTTTATTAAATCTGTGTATGGAAGTGTGTGTGTGTGCTTTTCATGTGCTGTTGGCTTTTTATCATAGACAGTTCTTTAATTACAGCTCTATTGTGAAATGTGCGTGTGTGAGAGAATGAGTGTCATAGGTTTGATAACTCTGAATAAGGGAGGCGCTGAATACCAAGTGGTATTTTTAATCTTTTGTTATGTAAAGAAGCATAAAACAAACATTTATCATGAAGAGAGAGACGAACAAAGGCAGCCGTTGTCAGTGTCACAGCCTGGTACATGCGGCACATTTCCAACTGACATTTCTTCCCCTCATTTCATTCTCGTCACCGAGTGTTCGTGCCGCGACACTGACGCTGGTGTTTGAACTCCACGCTGAGAACATATTGTGATCGCCACACGCAACGTATGGTTCTCTCTGGGTGGTTTGTTCCAGGTGAGGACATCAAATGAACCAATCATAGAAAAAAGGAGGAAACTAAACATATGTCATGGGTAAAAGGAGACCTATGAACACGTCTAAAAGCCAAGAGATGTTTGGAAAAATCCAGCCTAATGAGACAAACTGAGTGCAAACTGCAGCCTTGACCGGGTATTGTTTATTTTCAGCTGATATCGGCACCAGAGTTAAGTTAAATACACTATTGTGCACATAGAAATCCATCATACCTATCTTAAAACAAATGCATCAAAAAGCCAGTAACACAAACAGATATGTTTTCTCATTGCAATAAACATGGGAATTGTTTAGCTTACACTGTTCTTGTAAGAATAACGTTTGCTAAAAACTCATTTTGAACTGAAGATCTATCTTATATTATATCATAAAGATAAATGTACAAACACATTATATATTGTGGACTTTTCATTGGGTTTCTTGTAGGGGATACATTGATATATTGCCAGCCTTTTCGTAATGGGGGAAAGGAAAGGAACTTTTGCTTCTTCTTGTGCCAAAGTCTGTATCGTCACAATAATGACGGGTTAGTAATTCTCTTTCCAATAAACGGCCAATTTCATCATTTAATGTCATTTCTTTATAAGCCTTGCTTCGCTTGAGGTTTGGCAGCAGCAGCCTTAAAAGACTAAACCCAAAATGATGGAGGCATTATTAATATTCCAGAGATAGGTAATCAACTATTTGACATACTCCTTAGAAACACCAGTCATGCCAACATTAATTACACTGTAATCTGAGTTTTTCAATTTGAACTGTATTGTAATATTATATTTGAACTGTACTATGTATTATTTGATTGACCTGTACTTAAATCATGTTTTATAATTGTTTGTATGATAAAGATTATGCAATGTTTTTAGTGTTTGTTGATTGTTATGTACCTGCCTGAGGACTGCAGATGAAAATTAGCTATTAGCTACAATCTGGCATCATTCATATCTTCTCTTTTCTGATATTAATGTATTTGTATGCATGGTCCTTGTTGAAATATATACATAAAAACATGCATTTTAGCAACGGCCAAATAACTTTTCTGCGGAGGAATCATGTATTGTTACACATTCAAAAGGCAAAGTATCTTGGGTTTAAGTTATAGGAGGATAGATACGTGTCCCTAGTAACAGTATTTATGGTTTTTTTTCAATAAATCACATACATATCTGTAGACTAAAGCTGTGCTTCTCAAACTTTTTTCAGTAATGTACCCCCTTTGAAACATTTTCTCAGCCAAGTACCCCCTGACCGATCCCGAACATTTGTGATCGAAAAAGCCTATATAAATAATTACAATATAGTGATGTTCCCTCAGTCTGTGATGTATTAACTCCTTCGTGGTATGCATTACAACAAACTAAGGATATTTTCATTTTATGCATGAAAAAAATAACATAACACTTTTATAAAACAGATTTTTCAATTTAAGTAATATGTTATTGTGAAAAACTATAAAATACAATACACACATTTGACATGTTTATATGAGGACCCCCTTGGTGGTTCTAGGAATGTTTTATATAAAATTGTGTTTTCTATTTAACTTATTTTACTAAGATTATGTTTTTAATTAACTTTTTTTTTTCTTTTTTTTTTATAAATCTCACGTACCCCCTGCAGTACCCCAACGTACCCCCAGGGGTCCGCGTACCCCCATTTGAGAATCACTGTACTAAAGAGTTAAAATCAGTGTTGCGCTTATACAATATTTAAATCACAACCTTTCTTTTAAATCACAATTTTATTAAAACCCTACAGGGCGTTTTGCACATATTGACCTTCCATGACAGAGATAAACAAAAAAAAACATTATTAATCGACTCCAAGTGAAAGCAATAATGTCAAAAGAAATTATGAACATGCGCTTCACACCTTACATAAACATGTCCTCGCTCCTAGATGTTGACCTACAGTAATATGCTCTCCGTTCATCACTGGGCTGTTTTATTTAACAACAAACACACTCGCTTTTCTCCTCTCAGTTTGCTGTGTGGCTTTTCTCTGACAATTGTGATAGCTCTGTAATTACATCTCTTTTATGAGGAAGAGGCGCGTGTGTGTGACACTGACTGCAGTAGTTATTAACAAAGAGGAATCTGTCTATCCTCACACTTGTTACTGTCACCATTACTATTGCCTCGAGGAATAGGTTTAGAGACGTCGGTTTTCTCTTGCTGGTATTTAGACAAAGCAGTGGAACTTTAATACATCTGTCGTATTGTGGCTTTTAATTTGGATTTGGATTATTTTGGCAGAGTCCGTGCACCGCCACATGCAGCAGTACGAGGTGGAGTACCTGCAGTTCGCCTTCCGTTGGATGAACAACCTCCTGATGAGGGAGCTGCCACTGCGCTGCACAATCAGACTGTGGGACACATACCAGGTAAACACACACACACACACACACATACACACACACACACACACACACACACACACACACACACACACACACACACACAGAACGAAGCTACTGTTATTGGGCTTTTTGTTATGTGTCCTTTTCTGGCTCTGCATGGGATTCTCAGAAACGACCATATTGTCTGATATTGACATCTATGATTGCCTCAGAAGTGGTGCTTTTGTAATTCCATCCATCATATCCCAGCCAATCCAAGCGCTATGTTCCAACATAATACAGGTATTATTATTTCTTACAATCATGATGGCTTTCTCTGTGATGGTCCTGATTACACAGAGCATCATGCAGCCTTGCTACTGACACATGTATTTGTTAGCTAAAGAGCCTGACTTAATTTGTTCTGAGAAAAAAAGGGAATAGGATTCAAAAGGGAGGGGTTGTAAAAGATGAATTAATAGTTACAATTCATGCATGAAACAAAAGTTTTTAACTTGTGGTTTAATTGTATGGCTGCTGCTCTGTTAATGTGTGTGTGTGTAAGTAAAGCCTGTTACTGTGTCGCCCTAGAAGTGCAAATAAACCAAGTAATTGGAATATTGCAATTTATATATGTCAATATTCCAATTACTTGTATATAGACTATTCTGCACTATTTATATTATTTTATTTACTTGCACTATTATCAGTTGTATTGTGTGCACTGTTGGAGGAGCCTGTGACCTAAGATGTTCATTGTCATAATAACTACACTGTAGCTATGTACAAATGACAATAAAAGCCTTGCATCGAAATGCAAGAGCAGGATTATAAAGAGGACATTATGCTCATTTTCAGTTTGATATTTGTATTTTGTGCCTCAACTGTGATACGTGTTGTGCTTTTATGTTAGGAACTTCAGGATTTTAGCCTTTGCAGACCATTTACATTCACACAAATCTATAGAACACACTACAGGAAAGGGAAAACCCCCAAAGCATAATGGGGCCTCCTTTAATGCCTGTCAACCACATGTGGACCTGCTCATTCCGCTGCCACAAGGCTTCGCCTACAGTTACACCAGATTGTTAACCTCAGTTGGCGTTGTCAATAGCACACTAATGTTTGCTATTGATTCTGTGGAGTGTGTGCACAGGCTGGAACGCATGCTTGAGGTCTTGAGTACATGTAATGGATTTTCCAGCTGATTCAGAGGTTGAGAGTGTAAGACGTACGATTGCGGTGTTTGAGTAGATGAGGAAAGTCGAGAGAGAAACCATGAAGATGAATGAACAGTTGAGGTAGAGTTCAAAATGAACTTCTCCGTCGGTGGTACATTCTAACTGTGGAAGCTTGTTGCACAAACATGTGTATGTTACACGGCTGTCAACCCCCGTTGTTCTTTCTGCTGCTTCTTCTCAGCATCACCAGCATCAATCAGTTTCATTGTTTTTCTCTGCATATTTAAATTTCTCATAGAAATGGGATTGGAAAAGATATGTTCTCCTCATATTTACCCTTCTATGTTTGTTAGCGCAAGAGACATGACATTGGAAACTGTAACTCTTAAGTCTGACATTACAATAGCTCTGAAGTCACTGTGTGAAACTTGGTATAGGGCCGTGCGGTATAGAAATGACTCCCTAGTCCTACTGAAGATACTGCTTTAAGAAAAACAACGATATGAGACCTTTTTGTAAAAAATAAACTGAACTGAAACTTGGACTTGTTATTCATGTTTTAATAACCAGACAAGGGGGAGGGGCAACACTACAGTGACATAACATTGCGTCACGATATTTTACACTTGAATACTACTAATCTTTATTTTTTCATAGAAGTATACTGGAATAAAAATGTAAGAATACTCACAATATCTATTCAAGAAAAAATCAATGTGGGTTCTGCATTAGAATTATCCTCATATATGCGTCTTATCTCACTCAAAGCTTGTCCAAAGCCACTGATGTTGCTCTTTGGCAGATTAAACATAAAATAAATCCTAATATGGCTTGCCAGATTTAGCCAAATTGAAATCTGTTGATAAATCTAAGCTTCCCGCCCAAGTAAAGGCTATAGATACAAACAAATAGAGACTGAAAATAGCAGTGTTGCATAATTAATCACAGTTTGTTGTTGTGGACACATGAGGGCAATTATCATGGCTAACCAATGTTGTGTTTAATAAAATCCGGTCAAATCGCATAAACCTATAATGTGGTATAGTTTGTTTCCCATTTACGCCAATGCATTATTTGAAACCATGTAAATTATGCACTTTTTGGATTGCAGTTGAGTGCTGTAGAAGACCTTGAGGAGTGAGTAAATGGGCAAGAGGAAGCAAATGGAGATGGGTAAGAGATAAAAGAGTAAAGTGGGGTAGTATAAGACAGGGATGAAAGAAAGGGTTGACGGCGCAAAGTAAAAATAGACAGAATTGAAAAGACTTAAAATATTTAAATAATGCCAATTTGCAGTGCTCAGTCTTCAGTCTTCAATAAACCCTAGCTTGCATGGATAAACACTGAATGACTCTAAATCTTCATGAGTCTAAAGCTTTGTGAACTTTAGCTGACTGAACTTTGGACATAATTAGAAAGATTGCAACTGACAGGTAAGAGCCCCGTTACAGCAAGGATGGTACTTCCCTTTTTTTGCTTTACTTGAATTAAAACACCAACCTCATTTTGGTGTCGATTGTAGTTTGTCTCCTGAATGCTGATAGAACCTTATTGGCGGCTTGAGGATAAAAAAACCAATATAATGTTTTACCTTACTGCAAGCAAAGGGTGCAACTTTTGAGACATAATTACCTAATTGTAATCATTCGGTTTAAGAATTTCAAACCAATAAATGTTAGCCCTACCAATGTCTCCAATTATCCATATTGCTGTAAGCGTACTTAAAGTAAATGATCCCCAAGATGCTCTTCAATGTCTTTTTTCTCAATTACTGTACATAAGACTGTTTTGTTCCAGCTACTAGCAAACCTGAAACAAGTCCAAAACACTTTAAGTCCTAGAGTTTAAGTGCACTCCCATGACTTATGTGGACACCTGGGATTGAGAAAGGACGCTTCGGCTGACCCAACAGTACCACTCTGTTTTCATGAGCCCACTTCCTGGTCAGCCATCGCTTATAATTACTGATAGCATTACGCTTTACTCTGGAGGGTTGAATCAGTCCTTACAACAAAGGCCTGTGCTCTCCCATTTAGGAATGTTCTTTTTTTTCTTTCGACAGAACCAAAGCCAATTGGTAGTAGAGACAGAAATATCTCGAGGTGTAGAACTCAGTAGGAACGTCTTGCAGGTGTGGTTAGGTGTAGATAGTATGAACTTTGATTCATTGATTGACAGGGTAAGTGAGAAGGCGTAGAGAAGTGGTTATCTGAAGAAATATTTTCTTGGACAGGCATGAAAAGAATTACATTGGAATCAGAGTTGGTGCCCTTTACAATACTCAATACAAAAAAAGAAATGAACACATAATTACCTCAGGCTTGTGGTTAACACGCTGTATAATGGTCTCCACTATACATGAGCTATGCATGGTGTCCATAGTAACAAGCAGTTCATTTTTGTCTGCAGTGAAGAGCTCAGCGACAAATCTAATCATCTCAAGGAAAAAGCCGGAAAGGTTGGAAAGCAATCCAGAGAGACTGGCATAGAAATATAGACAGGGAACAAGAAAGAAATGGATTTACAGCGTCATAAAAAAAATAATACCTTGTCCGGACTTTCAGTTACATTTCATGTCTCCTTTCCTGAGCGTAACTTAAGCATTGACAGCGTCAGCACAGTGGCTACAGTGATGGATGAGTTAACACCCCTGGGCAGTTTAAGTTGTATTCATTATGATTTAGAATTATTTTGCTGATTTATTCTGCTTTTATCCCTACTATAAGACGCCTCCACACACACAGCAACAGTGATCCAGGGAAAGTTGTAACTCACGCCAAGGTTTTATGGGTGTTTTTCCCAATGGCTACTGACCACAAGAAAGTTTGGTGGCAGAACTGTTGCGCTGCGTCTGTATACTAATGCAATCTTATAAATCCATACATCCGGCCTTATTTAAGCCACATGGTCCAAAAGGATTTAGGTTCAAAGCACTCCGCAGCTCCATTGTGGGAACAGTTTGGGTTTAGGCGAAATTAGACTTAATGAAAATAACACTTACATCGTTTATCGCATTTCTTTCTGAGACAATATATCGTCAAACACAAGTACTTTTGCGTACACCATGCTACATTGTGTCTAAAACAGAAACAAGTAATGCATTTTTAAAGAGAGTTGTTGTGCCTTGACAGCAGCTCGAGTACACGATGTACTTGTAATCCATCCTTTAAATATTTGATGTTTTACAATATCCTTTGGATCGTGTCCACACACGCCCATTACGACATCACACAAACACGCACTACACCTTCTTTGACACAGTCTGTCACCTGGTAGGTATATGAGGCCATTTGCACTCATGAAACTTTCAGGAGAGCTGTCAGCAACGCTGCTCGTCTCTTCTACTCTGTCCTCTTCTACTCTGTCCTCTTCTACTCTGTCCTCTTCTACTCTGTCCTCTTCTACTGTCTTTTTTTATAACTTTTTCTCCTTCTGTGTCCTCTCTGCTTTGATATCCTTTCTTTGTAAAACATCCTAAATGTACTCCTCTATCCTATATTTCCCTCCAAGTCCTTAAGGATTCATAAATTGTCCTTGACTAGAATGTTTTTTCGTAACACAAGATATCAAAAGTTTTGTAAGCGTGTGCTCCTTCCTTTGTCAGAATGTTTTCCTGTGTTTCCTCACCTCTGAGTCAAATAATGTGTCTCTGTTTGGTGATTCAGTTGTTGTTAAGGCCCATTTTCAAACCAGAAAATATGCATTATTCATTCGTGTCCCAAATAACTGGATTTCTGAGCTAGATTAATGCGACTTTTTTTGACAAATTCGTAACGCAACGCATGTGTCGATAAATCAGGCAAAGAAAGAAAAACATTTTCGCATTGGCGGGACAAAAAACCCTAGCGTGTTTTGGTCGTTCAC